GAACTGAAGTATCTGCAAGAACTAATTATATCCATTGGCACTAGGTAAGGGATGATATTTCGTTGAGGGACTTGTGACGACTGCTTAAACTTGCAGTTTCTGGCTATATTGACTTGGAGATATGAAGATAGTAGGTTGGGAGGTTATGAGAAAGCATTGCTGTCATTGCTGAGAACTTAACAAATCATTTACTCCCAGGTGTGAAAGTTGATGTTATGACATTAAACTGTTTATGTTGAAGTCTGATTTCTCACACAGCACATAGGGAAGGACCTTCAATGTTCAGTTAATTGAAAAAATAAAAGGGAAGGAATTTGGGTTGCAGCTAGATGAGGACACAGATAATAATTATGATGCTCACTTGATTTGCTATGTACAGTTTATACATAGTAATAACATTTCTTTTTTGTAAAAGTTTTACTGCTGATGTTAAGACTCATGACTTGTTTGAGATCTCTGATATTTTTATATCCGAAGATGATTTGGAGCAGATCAAATGTATTGGTATCTGTACTGATGGTGCTCTTTAATTTAAAAAAATATAGACTATTTTGCAAATTGTATTTGTTAGAATTTGACATAGAGCACTTTGGAAAAAACTGGATTTAGCAATGGTGCTGAGAATCAAAAAAGTTTGGGAACCACTGGCTTAGTGAATTTAATCATATATATGAACAACACTTTTTACATTATTATTTAGACAGCTAATATATACAATAGTTTGTATTGTAGTTACATTTTAATATGAATGAAGTTAAATTCTTAAGTTTAGAAAGTTTTGGAAGAAAAGAATTGGCCTAGAGTGGCACTCACAGTGCCAACTGTGAATGACCAGTATGGTTCTCTTTATTGGAAGAATTTTGGTGTAAAAATTTTATGCGCATAAAAAGTAGATATAATACATCTCAAAGCCTGATGATATATTAATAAACCAACAAATGCCTAAACAGACTGTTCTAAATTATTTATTAAATTATTAAAAATTATAATTATTAATTTAGATAAGAGATGGCACTTAACACTTACCTCTATACCAAATTCATTTGTATTTATTATTTAATTATAGCCATATTATAGCACTATTATTTAGGCGTTTGTTGGTTTATTAATAAAAAGTACACACATGCTCTACTTTTTTTTCAGTTATTTTTCAGCCAAAATTTCAGAAAAATTTTTATGCTTTGTTTTATTCTAGATATAATGCCGAATTTTATGCATATGTTTCTGGCCATAGTGTCTCTTTCCTTCTTTTTTGCTTGTTTTGCTTTTGAGATGACTGTTGCAATGGTTTGTAATGGTGGTCATTTATTGCTGATTTTTTGTTTTTTCTGCTTTTGCAGGGTTTTTTTCCTCCAGTTTGGTCTTTTTTATTGCATTTTTGTTTTTCTTGTTTTTCTCTTGTTGATTGTTTTTCTTTTCTCAGTTTTTTGCTTGATTTTTGTGTTTTGGGGCGTTTTTGGGTGATGGTTACAGCAGTTCTTGACAATCACCACCTAACGTTTTCCTAAATTTTTTGTTTCTGACTTTTTTCATGACCATGATCAATGGAGGTCATCGACCTCTCTCTCTGAGACCACTCTCAGTATAGCGTGAGCTTTTTATTTAGATTAGTCTTTGGCATGGTTTTTTCAAAGCTTTTTGTTTGTTTTTGGTCTCACTTTCTGGAACAAATTCTTTTGTGTTGATCAAAACACGTTTCTTGTTTTTCTCACACTTCTGGCTTGGCAGCGTCATGTGAATCTGGGACATCACAGTTTTCTGTGACCGAGTCTGAGCAGCTTGGGTGCTTCTTTGCCTGGACACTTGGCTTTCAGACCCTGTCTTTTTTGGGACCCAGTGCTGTTTCTCTGATAGCGTTGAGATAGAACGACTCCCTGGGATGTACACCATCTTGATTATGGACCATAGATGGGACAGAAACCTGATCTACATAGGGTCCACTAAGCGCTCCCTGGAAGTGAGAATGAAAGAACACGCAGAGGATATTCTACATGCGAAGCCCACCATTGCTCTTGCTATCTATGCCTCAGATCCAGAAATAGAACCATTGTTCAATCAAGCCAAAGTGATTTTCACTACACAATACGTAAACCATCTTAGATGGCTAGAGGCTCTTTACATCTGTATGGCTATACTTAAAGATGATAACTGCATTAACCATAAAGATGAAATCACCCTGTCAACTGCATGGCAGGTGCTCATAGACAAGAACTTATAATAATCTACAGTCGTTAAAGGGGCGCACGCCTGAATGATGTTATCGATATCCACGCAATAGAATTCTGAATGGTGTTCCAATTTGACTTTAATTTGAATCGCATTCATTTAACAGTCATTGGTTACTTGAAGAAGAANTTCTTTCTTGGATGTCATATTGATTAAATATATAAATCACAAAACTGGAAAAAGAAGTATAGCACAAACACTCGGAAAAGCAATGCTTAACTCGCGCATGCCTAACAACAACTAAAATTTGACACAAAATACCGTTACGTTCGTTATCCGAATTTTGTTCGTTATCCAAGACAAAACTTTTGCAAAATAAAAGTTCGTTAACCGATTTGGTCGTTAACCAGGACGTTCGTTAACCGAGGTTCCACTGTAATTTTATATTTTAGTTGCAGTTCAACCAGCATGCCAGTAACCCGTGGGTTTCAGGCATGCTGATCTCCCCAGTTTATATGTGGCATGCCAGTTATTCTGTCAAAATTTGGTATAAACTCAAAGTTTTTTTTTTTGGGAGAGCTCAAAAATTAACAGTTTTGTTTCATTACAACTACAGTGTCTAGGTTCATATTCTTTAGTTTTAATTCAATCAATTTCTGCTTCTATTCTTTTACTTCTGTCAGATCAACATCTTTAGCTTTCTCATAAATCTGTGAAAGTTATAATGTTTTGAGCTTTGAAGCTTTCAAGCCAACTATTAGAAACTTTGACTCATTCTTCAAATGTGTGATAATTCTGTCGTTCTTTTGTAGAATAGGTCTTGAAATTGGAATATTATATAGTCTTGTATTTAGAAACTATTCGTACATTATTCTGTTATGAGTTTCATTTCTGGTTTTTCAAATCTCCCTGATGTTTACCATTCAGTCATTCTTCTTGATTTTTTTTTTCTTTGTTTCTCAGAATTTGATAAACTTTTGTTTTGAAACAACTAAATTTTCAGCAGTGTTCTTTAACACTTAAATGTTTTTCTTCATTATTCATGAGCTTATTTTAGATTTTAAATGTTGTGTATTCATCTTTATTCTTGACGTTTCTGCTATTCTGAATTTCAGTAATATAATAACTAATACTGTAAAGTTGCACTACACAGTGATGCTTTTTGTTTAAGCTAAAAGTAAGACTAAAAATAGAACACACAAAGATGGCATTATCAGACACAGTTTTTGCACATTATTTATCTTCACTTCTGTCTTAAGATTGTTTTACTTTTTGTGGACTCAAAATTGCAGTGTGTGTCCACATTAAGCAGTCTCTGGCTTAAACAGATAAAATTACATTAACTTGTATATTACAGGATAAGGGACTAGAAGAAAAATCATAATAAGCAGGTTTCCATTATACTGGGAGTCTGGTTTAAACAGTTTCCACTGTATCATTATATTAGATATTAAAGTAAAATTCATTCTGCATTCAATATAAAGAGTAACTCCGATAATGACCATTTTGTACATGAAACCCCACACAATTTGTGAAAAATGTGAATTGTTTTTGAGGTTTGCAAGGAAGTAACCAGTTAACATTGTAGTTCAGCTACCTAAAATTTTTCTCAGAAGAAAATGCAATAATACATATTGAGCTTTTATGGAGGAAGTTTTGTATACTGATTCCAGAGTTCTGGCTATAATTCTAAGATAAAATTTTTTAAAAATTCGTTTAACATAAGAAAATTAATTTTTTAAATTTTAGAATCACAGTTAATATTAAATTAATGCAGCAAATATTGTAAATATCATTTCAAAAACTACATGCCTTAGCATTGATTGTAAGTTATATGTTCAGATGTTACTATAAAAATACACATTTAACAATGAATAAATTGCTGTTAAATTAAAATTGGAAAATAGGATAGTAAAAGTGAATAAGACATTCCCCAGTCGAATAAATTGACTCCATTGGATAAAAGAAATCATTGGAGTATGGAAAATGTAATATTGTAAATATTAAACAAAATTATAAATTAAATTTTATATAATTCCCTAATTATTCAACTAGTTAGTCCTGGTCAGTTAGCAATTAGTATTTAATGTAAATCTAATTGCAATCTTTTTTCTTATATTATACAAAATAATTCCTTCATCTATATACTTTGTTTCTTTAAAAGGAATATGATTTGTTTTTATTACAATTTCTGTTATTTCATGAATATAACAACTTTTATAACTTACTAATAGTGTAGAGTAAAAATCAGTTCTACAAAATATTTATTATTGTAACATTTTTATTAATAAATTTTTTACTCAGATATTTAGTTATAGTAAAAAAAAACTATATGTCAAATTAAAGTACAAAAATGTTAAATAATTTTATGTTTACAGATTTGTCTTTTTCATCTAATATTAGATTTAATCACGAGCCTCTGAGTAACATCAATATTACTTTATCAGTTAAATTTGCTTATTTAATTAAGATTAACAGAAATTACTAATTTCATTTTTTGAAGTTTATAGCAAAGTTATAATTTATTAAAAAAGTTATTTCTAATAATTAAATTACATTGGCTAATAAATATATAATTGATAAAGTTATAAGGTGATAACAAGGTTCAAACTCATATATGACTAAAGTTTATTTTATATAAAATGTTTAAATAAATTGCTTCTTAATGTGTTTTATATTGTTCATAAATATGTCATTTAAGCTTTGTAGATAGTATTTGTTGTTTTTTTTTTATTGATAAAATATATTTGTTGAATATCATTTATATAAATATAAATTAGTATTCATGATGATTAACTTTTTTAAACATTTGAAAATACATATGGAAAATTCCCCAATTTTATATTGATATTCATTACTATTAATTTTTTCCTATGATGCATGGAATTAGTGTTTGTGGTTCTATCTTCTAAAAAAGCTTCATATTGCACATGTGGATACATATTTCAGCTCTAATATTACAAGTGTAAGCAATTTCTAAATTATTTATATTCAGTATGACAATTAAATGCAACACGTGAAAGCTGAATCATCACAATAGGTAAAGATAAAACCATTTTATCTTTTCCCTCCATTTGGAAGCTTTTAGCCAATCGGCATTGATGGACAAGCAAAACATCTGATGTATAGTTGAGGATTGATTGCATCTTCAAAATGGATGACAAACAACTAATTGAAGAAGTTCAGAAGCATCCAGAACTGTATGATCCTAAGAGACGAGATTATAGAGATATTGATAAGCGAGAATTAGCATGGTCAGAAATTGCCGAAGTGATGGGTTATACATGTAAGTAAATTTATAGCAATCTATTTCTCCAGTTTTTAATATTTCAGAATATATTGGGTTGTTTGGAAAGTAATTTTGTTTTTTTTTTACCACCAGAGAGATTAGTTGTATTTTTACCCACCAATTTCATTCTAAATTGTATTGTCATTATATATTTTGACATCTGACATTTCAATGCTTATTTGTAAAAAATTTTGTTTGATTCTTTGCAATTGAATTTTTTTTTTCCTCCATCAAATATGGAAAATTGAAAACAGCATTTTCAGCATATTTTCCTTATTTATTATTGAAAAGTTAAGAATGCTGTTCAAGCAAGAAAAAAAATAGTGTGATGTGTATGGAGAAGATGTGTTGACAGAACAATAATGCCAAAATGATTTGCAAAATTTTGTTCTGGCAATTTCAATATTGAAGATGCACCATGTTCTGGAAGGCAAGTTGAAAGCTGATGAAGACAAAATAAAGGTATCGATTGAAGCAAACTGCTAACAACAACACAAGAAATCATTAAGAGATTAAATTTGTCAAATTCAATTGTTTATGATTACTTGAAACTACATGGTTTTGCTTCAAAGCTCAATATATGGGTTCCTTATGCTCTTAAAGAAAGAGATTTGCTGTCACATTGACATGTGTGATTTGATTCTCAAACATCAAGAAAATTATCTATTTTTGAAGTGAATCATAACTGGCAATGAAAAATGGATTGTTTGTAACAATGCTGAATGCAAGCAATTATGGAGTAGAAGAGATGAGCCAGCTCATAGTACTTTGAAAGCTGATATTCATAAAAAAAGTGGTGCTCTCTATTTGGTGGGATTTTAATGGAATTTTTTTTTCCCGAGCTTCTACCAGACAATTCCACAATTGATTCGGAAGTGTACTGCCATCAACTGGACAAATTGAGTGATACCATCAAACAGAAAAGGCTAGTATTGATCAACAGAAAAGGTGTAGTGTTTCACCATGATAATACCAGATCTTACACAAGTTTGGTAATTTGTCAGAAGCTGTTACAGCTTGGATGAGATGTGCTACCACACCCACCATATTTGCCAGATCTAGCACCCTTGGATTATTACTTGTTCCAGTCTGTACAAAATTTTTTAAATGGTAAAACACTTACTTCAAATGAGGATGTCAAAAATCACTTGGATCAGTATTTTGTAAGCAAAGATCAGAAATTTTATGAGTGTGGAATCATGATACTACCAGAAAGGTGGCAAAAGGTATTGGACTAAAATGGTCAGTTTATAATTCAATAAAATATTTATATATTTAAGAAAATTGTTTTTTTTTTTTTTTTTTCATGAAAAACGAAGTTATTTTCTGAACAACCCAATACAAAATTTTTAAAGGATGATATGTCATTTTTTTACTTATATTTTCCTGAATTACATTATAACATTTATGATATGTATGTTAGATTATAAGAAAATATGTATGAAATATAAAATGAACTGAAATATTAAAATATTATTTTTCTAGATTTTAAAAATTAAAAAATAGAAAATATATTTTAAAAAAGTGTTTTACATACATTGTTATTGTATGAAATAATATTTATTTTATTATTTTAATTTAACAAAGTTACATTTTCTCAATGATTTATTTTCTGATTCTTTGTATAGAGAAGCTACTACAATAAACTTATTCATTAAATTAGTTTTCAATTTTTTTATGCTCTTGACCAATTGAATAGTCATGTAAAAATTGCAGTATACTTTATTATTGAAAATTACAGTACTAGTCAGCAGATCAATCAGAATCATGCAATAAAAGAAGCATTATGGAAATGTTGTAGATTTATGATATCATATACACATGGCTATTTTTGTCTCAAAATACTGTAGGACTATGCTGAACATGCTTTTAGTTTTATGCTATTGGCAATCCAAAAATGAAATAAAAAAGAAATACATAAGATAGAAGTTTTTAATTGTGCACTGAATATGTGCTGTTAAGGTGCACAAAGTCTTGCAGCATCTTGCCCATTTATGCTCATTCTTTTATTGGGAAAGAATTGCTATGACTCATTTCTTTATTTTACACTAAGCCCTGGAACTTGCATCAGTCTTTGGTATTCTCACTTGTGACATGTCATGTCTGGATGATAACAGTGTTTTTTTTGGTTTCATTTATGCTAATTACTTTGCCAACATGGCTGCAAAATGCAAGGATAGTTATGTTGGTAGTTCTGAGAAGCCTTGAATATATAGTAATAGGAACAGTTAAAAGTTTAAAGGAAAAATTAAAATCTTAGACTTAGCCAAAAAGAAAAAGTTTGCTTCTAAAATTTTTAAAATTTATTATGATTTATTAGGCTATTTAATGTTAACATAGTGTTTACTTACTCTATTCATAAGAAAAAAAATCGACAAATTGTATTACTTTCCCAGCTTTACTAGGAAAGTTTGCAATATGCTCTTTTGTCAGACATCATTTGCCAAAAGTTTTGTTGCTACATCATTTGCCAAAAGTTTTGTTGCTCCAGCCTTTGACTCCCTTTGTAGAAAAATTTACTAGGACAAAATCTAAATCTACTAGCTACATATTTTTATATAAGTTTTGTTGTATTTATTTTGGATAATAAATTTATAGTAATTATTTAAAATTGTATGGTGACCATCTGTTATGAGATTTTGTTATAAAAAAATTTTTATATTTTTAAATTCTATAAAATGGCAAAAAGCTTAATTTTGAGGATAAGGATGAGTTTTATAAAAAAGTATAATTGTTACTAACAAGTAAAATTGTCATTAAGTGTGACCTTACTTGGAGATACACATGATCCCCTTTATCTTCCCACTCCTTTGACTTTTAACCACCAAAATTTAATAGCATTAATGCCCCTCATATACAAGCTGCCATGCCAAATTTTCTTACTTAATCTTTACCCCATCCTGAGATATTAAGCAAAATGATGCCAAAACACACACACACACACACACCCATAGAGAATTTTTTTTTTAAATTTAGGTCTTAAGTCTCAAAACATGAAGATTTGCAAAAAAACTGGTAGGGTCAAATTTGACATGATTCCAATACTTTCACTTGTTATGCATACATAACAGCTGGGAAAGTAAAAAGAAAAATCTTATTCAGAAAATAAAAGTTTTGAAATTTGAATTTTTTTTAATTCTTTATTTCTAAGTTTGAATTTGATCAATGACATGAGTTTACATTATTATTTCATAAGCTCTATAAAAAAGAATTATCAGAAGAGTAATGAAATAACAGAAACACAAATTGAAATAAAATACAATAAAAATGCACTGCCTTTAAATTTCAGTAATGAAGTCAAAATTGATATTTAATAGTAGTTCCTGTAATAAAAAAAATTCTCAGTATCCAATGGTTTTTGTGTCCCAAAAGTTTTAAAGGCATTGGTTATAATTTCTGTCCAACTAAACAAATTATTCATTGAGATGCATAAATATTTTCATAGGTTAAGTGAATAATTAATTTGTGTATTTTTATTGTGATTCCCTTCCAATATGTTTTTATTTTATATCATACTACAAAAATTAAAAGTATAAATGAATACTGTACACAAATATGCCTTATTTTGTATATTCATTCTAAACCCAACAATGAGAAATTTTTCTTACTTGTTATTGTTGGTCTTTTCCTTCCAATATTTATACAGATTGATCCTGATGATAATACTCTGTGTTTTGGTTTTAACATTGTCTAACTTTGTAGAAATAGCCATTCAACAATATTAAATGAGGAAGGAGATATTGTTTTAAAACTCTCAGTATAACAACAAATTTCTCTATTACAATATTTTTTCTTGTTTTGCTAAATATCATTATAGAGGGATTTTATTAGTAGATAAAAAATTTAATCAAAAATAGAATGAAATATCAATTTTGAATTGTCTTTCAAAAGGTAATATTGTCAATCCAATGATGGATTGTCTGTGTGCTATTAGGGACTGAATGATTACTGTTGATTATCATATACAAGGGGATACAAAAGTATGGTTAGAGTTGTGAAGCTAAGAAATATAGATGTTTAGTGTTCATTGTTGTTATTATTTTTATCTTTTATTATTTTCTTTCCCTTATTTGTGATTTAATGCATAAAAATATTTTTTCTTCTATGTCTATTTCCTGCATTTTTTTTCCATAACAACAATGTTTATAACCTACTTTTGCACTCCTTGTAATAGTACTTGATTGCTTGCTGGTCTTCTCTGGTTTTCCATAACAAATCTTTAATCTACACTTGTTTTATTTTAATTATTTTCTACAAGTCTTATTCACAATTTGTAATTTTTCTGAATGAATCTTAATTTAATTATATATGAAAACTTATTCCAAATGTAAGTTATAACTATACTTCTTTCATAATTAGATAATATATTCTAAGATGTGTATTATTAAACAAACATTATATATGCAAAAACCATTTCACCAAGCTATATCTTGTTTCTGCTAAGTATTAGCTAAAAACAATTATACAAAAGAATAGGTATTGGTAGTGGAGTATTTGATGACATAGTTCCACGCACTTTTTGATATTTCTCATGGGATCAAATTCTAGTTTCTAGTAAGGCCTGATAACAAAATAAAATGGTACAAATTTAATTTTTATATCATGAATTTTGAGTTATAAAAGTATGGTTTTTTTAATAGACATCTATTTAACTATAGTTATAGTTTGGTATTTGTATACTGAATATATATTTACTTATGCAACTTGCTATATGGCTCCATATTATCTTTCAAAAGCTGGACAAAGAAACTTTTAGAATTTTTTCCTATCTTATATTTTTCAAAAACATTGATATATTATACATTTTATATTTATCAGAGCATACTAGAGGTCTAATAATACCATTTTTACCTCTAGACTAGATAGTTCTTACCACCATCACCATTTAGTAGTCATATATTTCTATTCCATTACTTTATACAATGCTGCAGTATGAGACTTCATATATCAGTCAACCCTCATATTATTATTTGAATTGAATAAATTAATAAAATAAA